CTCAGACCCCACCCACCCGTGTCCACAGCAGCTGACTCCCAGACCCCACCCACCCGCGTCCACACCAGCTCAGACCCCACCCACCCGTGTCCACACCAGCTCTGACTCCACCCACCCGCGTCCACACCAGCTCAGACCCCACCCACCCGTGTCCACACCAGCTCCGACTCCCAGACCCCACCCACCCGCGTCCACACCGATTATACAGGTTGTTTAAGAACAGGCCACTCGGGCACCTCCCAGCACCTGCCCATCCTCAGTACCTTTTCTGTCTCCTGGTGCACAAGGTCCCGCATGTCCTCTGTCCAGCCCAGCAACTTCACCAGTTTCTCCACGCTGTGAACCACGTCCCCCAGCTGCACCACATCCCTGCTCCGGGGTCGCCATGCAAACGTGCCCACCACATCCTGGTTGATGAGCACTCGGGGCACCGAGTTGCGGACGCCTTCAGACAAGCTGGCAAAAGGCTCCACCTGGAAAGCCCGCACCCAACAGGAGAGCCTGGCATCTCGCAGAGAGCAGGGGAGGCCGCTGACACCCCATGGCTTCCCCCGGGAGACCTCAGCAGACAGCACAGGCTGACCTCAGGGTTCTACATGTGGGGACTGCACCTCATGAGGCTCAGCTGTGCCTCAGGGTGCCTGTCCTCGTCCTCACCCCAGAGGAGTGCCCCAGGGTCCCCAAAGCACCCAGAGCCACTCACAAGTGCCCCTTCCCTGCCCTCCTCTTCCCCAGTCCCTCCCCCCAATACCCACAGACCTCAAGGGAGGTCCCGAGGACGACCAGCAGGTCAGCCATGGGGAAATCGACCACGTGCAGCAGGAACCTCTCTGGTAGCGCCTCCCCAAAGAACACGATGTCGGGCTTCACGATGCCGGTGCAGACCCCGCAGCAGGGAACCCTGTCCGCCAGCACGTCCGCCTACAGGGCAGGCAGAGGGGGAAATGACAACTGGGCAGCAGCTGCTAGAGCACGCTGTCCACGTCGTTCCCGACGGCATCCATAAACACCTCAGGAGATTCCAACTGGACCCACTTGAGCCCCATGGACACCCATGGACACCCAGCCCAGGCTCAGCTCGCCAGTATACTTTATTTTTTATACGTAAGTTTTTATTGTGAGGTTTACATGGAAGACTATCAGTTTCACATTCATCCGATTATATTTCGTTTCAATGCAATGATTACAATCCCCTCCATGCATCATCAAATAACCTCAAAGGGAAGGTAGAATCTCCACTGAATGATTTCCCACAGGCCCGCCCCCAGCAGCCAGCACACTGCCCCTCTCCCTCCCTGAGTCCAGTGTCCCCAGCTGCTCTATCTGTTCATGCCATCGTCTCTGTCCCCATCCCTGATGTCCCTACCTCTGGGTAGGGTCCCACTCTCCACTCTTCTCACTTGATGGTCCCAGGGACCTACGCTCCTAGGCTGCAAAATCAATCACTCCCCTCCTTTTGTCAAAAAACATCTACCTCTATATTTCCTAGCCTCACCGGTCAGTCCTGATGGCATTTATTCACTATTGTACCACAAGAGTCTTATCCCCATTTCCTTCCGCAAGCCTGGTCCCAACAGATTGGAAATCATTCAGTGGAGATTCTACCTTCCCTTGCCTCATCTGGAACCAGGCTCCCTCTTGAAAGCTTGTAAACCAGTCACTTCTTGCCTTTATAGCCGCCCCCCCACCACCACCCACCATTTTGGGTAGCCAATGTCTTAAGTTGCCCATCCCTGTTAATCCTGTGTACCGAGGGGGTGGGAGTGATCCTCACTGTAAAGATTTGTTCCCTTTTTTGAGCTACTACATCCATAAGTATAGGTAAAGTACATCAAATTGTAGCAGGTAACTCTTCCCCCCTCCCCCCTTTCTTTTTTTTTCTAGTCAACTTCTGATCATCCAGCCATCGAAGCCAGGTCAAGTGGGTACTATCTGCAAGTATGGGTGTTCTTGTGCATCTCCCCTCACTTCATATCAGCTGGACGCTTCACTCTCGCTCTAGTCCTCTGTGGACATGTCACTGCCTCTGGGCCCAGGAGTCCCCGGGTCTTGCCATACTGCTGGCCATCCAGGTCTCCACCTGGGTTCACAGGGGTCTATTGAATGTGGACAGACTTAGCTCGCCAACTTCATTGCTGTTTTTTCCCCTTCTTCCCCTTACCGGTGACCACCTGCCTGCTCATGTATTCCCCTTGAGTCTCAGTCTTGGAAGGGAGTTTGCTCTCTCCAGTATACTTTTACAGTGTTTGTTAGAATGATTCAAGCAAAGCCCACACGTTTCATTGCTCCCCTGGCTGGTATGGTTGAGACCCCCAGGTTGGAAGACTATAGGACATCTTGAACCAGCAGCAGACCAACTCCCTGCAGCCACACTGAAGGCCATGTCCTGTGTCACGTGTCAGGAGGCACACGTGTCTGGGTGCCTCCTAGCACACCACCAAATCAGTGATCTCACTAAGGGTACAGAATGGTTCCTTCCTTCAAGGCTCTTTTTGCCTTTAGAACTTCTCCAGTAGGGATGGAAATGCAGGGATTGTGAAGCATCTCTCTTCTATGGAGGGCTGCTTTTTAAAAACACAAAAAAATCTTCTTCTTGTGACTTGAGTGAACGTATGCAGATCATCAGACTTTCATCCAATAAATCATAGACTTTGCTTCAGTGCAACGACTACCATCAGTTAACAGTACTTATCTCTATTCACTTTAACACTATCTTCTTCCTGTGTCTCCTCCTACCTTACCTCCCTCTTGTTGTATATTGCCTGCCCTGTCACCCATGTGGTTTACCTTCTAGCCTGTGAATAATACTTTTCCTTCTTTCTTTTTAGAAAGAAAATCTTTTCTTAACTTTTTACAACGGTCTCATGTCCTTTTGTGACTGATTAATTTCACTCAGCATAATGTCCTCCTGATTCATCATGTTATGGGAATTTTGCAGATTCATTGTTATTCTTCAACATTGCGGAGCATTCCACTTTATGTGTGTTCTAACGTTTGCTAACCATTCTTTCGTTGGAGGGCATTTAGGCTGCCTCCATCTTTTTGATGTGTCTCTTACAGACCGACCGCATGTTGAAGGATCCTGTTTTCTTATCCATTCTGCTACTGTGACTTGCCTGGTGCATTTAATCCATTTACACTCTGAGTAATTATCCATGTTATGAAAAGATGAAAAGTACGACTTGCTTGCTATCATTTTGATGGGGCTTTCTTCATAGTGCTACTGGTGTCTGTCCCACATAATTTTCTGCACTGAGTTCATTTTGTTTATAGGTTTTTTTCATTTTCATTTCTCTTGTGTTAATGTTTACTAAATCTTTTTGATTTTCCTTTTTTTATTTTGATGTGAAGGTGGTTAATTTTCTTTTGAGATTACTCTGTGATTTATTAAAATTTTCCCCATTTAAAATAGTCTGTTTTATCTTAAAATCTACTTGACTTCCTTACCATTTGGAAGCTCTTGATCTACACTATTCCCTCTTTTTTGCTTTGTAGTTGGCTTCATTATAAATTGCTATCTCTGGTTCCCTATTTTCAGTCTTGTAGATTTGTTTTACTTGAAATAGTTCTGTATCTGGATTGGGTTCTGGGTGGTGGTGTCATGGATGTTAATTTCGGGTTGTTGGTGCTCAGTCCAAGGAATACCTTTTAATGTTTTTTGTAAAGTTGGTCTGGTTATTGAAAATTCTTCTAATTTCTGTTAACCTGGACATACCCTAATTTTACCATCATATTTGAGGGACAGCTTTGCTGCGTATATGAGTTTTCTTTCATTGCCTTCTTGCCTGCCTGGTTTCTGCTGAGAAATCAGCGCTTGGTCTTATTGGTTCTCCTTTGTAGGTAACTTTTTATTTTCCCTCCTCTCAAGGATTCTTTGTCTTTGGTTTTGGACAGTTTGATTATGATCTGTCTTCGTGATTTTTTTCAGGGGAGCTCTATCCTGCTTGGGGTTCACTCAGCTTCTTGTATGCATATTATCTTCTCATCTATCATGATATTAGAGAAGTTCGCCAATCAGTCTCCCTCTCTCGTCATCCTTGCTCAACTTGTCCTCCCAGCCAGCACTCCATCCAGTCTTCCCTCTGAAGTTCAGGGTTCCAGAATTTTTATCTATGTCTGTTTCATCTGGTCTCTCATATCTTTCACCATCTTGCCAGAAGTTGGTTCCAGAATTTTTATCTGGGTCTGTTTTGTTGGAACTCTTGTATCTTTGCTGTCTGAACTGCTGCTTTTTAACATCATTTTGTCTTGTAAGAAACCCTGCTGCTGTAAATTAAGTGCTCTACTACTAACCAAAAGGGATTCCTGCTGGCTCTTCCATGGATGAATGGTGTGGCAGTCTGCTTCTGGAACAACGGATAGCCTTAGAAAGCCTACGTGGGGATGAGGCAGTTCTATTCTAACCTAGGGGACTGCAATGGGTTTGCTTTGGGGGTGGTTTTTTAAAGACATGTTTCCAAAGACAAAGGCATTTTTTAAATGTAGACATAGAGAAAGCGGCATTGTCTTGAGCCTCTGATGTAGGGAGGTAACACCTTCGTGCAGATTTGCTCGTGATAAAAGCCTCTGATGTAGGGAGGTAACACCTT